GTTTCTTTTGAGTCACTCGGCTTATTCTGATGTTTTAGGCAAACCGGTTTTGGAAAAACAAAGAAAGAAAAATATCTGAGTGGCTAATAGTATCATGGATAGCTTGGATACTGAGAAGGTAAAGAAGATCATTTGGAAAAGAAGTAAAACCGAGCTGGACACGAAAGCTGATAGCGCGAACTCTTCAGTAACATGCAAAGGAAGGGGTGAAAAAAGGCAGTGCTGTGATTCTAGGCAAGTTTCTTCAATCCCAATGCACAGTAATTTGGCTCAACCGTTTGTGTTGCCCGTTTTACCCACTCGAAAGGTCGACAAATGGTGCTCGAATATTTCGACTGTGTTTACCGGGACAGCTTGTAGAGGGACAGGGCCGCCTGTGGGGACAGTGGACATTGGTATTGGCAAATTCTCCTATTACTTCTGCATTGCCTTACCTGGAGTCAAACATGGACCAGGTAAACTGTACTTAGAATTACATTTAACCGAATTGATACTCGGATATTGCATACAGTTATCTGGGACTTGTTTAGGATACAAAGAGCAGGTCCGGTTAACTTTTCGCAAAGAATTCGTAAATACTGTTTGTTAGTGAACTGTTTTAACTTCTATTCTCGCAAAGATCTTTTTCCCTGTTATCCCAAGCATGGACTGACTATATTTGTATTTATCAGGAGAATTCTACTGTCATATACAGAGTGACGGGAAAGTCAGGGTTGAAGGTGTGACATCAACTGGAGGGAAAATAGTCGAAAAATACTCTCGAGTGTTCGAGATGAAGATCCAGCAGCAATGCCCAACTGGCCCATTTACCCTCTTCTTCACCCTGCCGGGGCCCGTCGATCCTAATAAGTTCTTTCCCACTTTCAGATCCGATGGCATATTCGAAGCCATTGTGTCAAAAACATGATCACCAATTCACGTTGTCTCTCTTTTATTGTGCATATAAAGCCAAAAGTTAACATCTTTTGTAGCTTGTGGGGATATGAAACTCTCGGTTGCTTGAAGCCGCTTGCACGTGTTGATGCGCCTTTTGTAGTTTGGCCTCTGTGAGTGCAGTAAAACTCAATTTTAAGCCCTAAACATTCCCCTCTGCTCTTTTTCT